TTGATGCCTCACTTAGATGGCTTCTTGTTAGAAACCTTTAAGACCCCAAACACTATTCTTTCTGACAGCCAGGAACCATCTAGTTTCTGCACCACGCTTTGCTATAGCACCCATAACTTCAGTGATCTCAAGAGGTTTGAGTATCAAGCAGGGCCATGTCATAAGAACTAATTATTCTCAGATTGGGGCTAGCATCAAGTGCAAGTCCAACGTCCACTCATAGTTTATGGTTCACATATGTCTCTAGTTTACTTTAGAGACATCATTATCATTTTATGTGAGATCGTCTCCCGGGGACATAAGGTGATTCTGTTGGTTGTGTCATTAATGTAGCCAATGCTGTATAATTTAAAACACTGTTTAGAAAAGGAAATTACACAACTATCGGCTGGCTACAAACTACAATACATGAATTGTTGACTTGTACTGATTAAACTCTTAAACAATACTGGGCACTAAATCAGACTGGACTCTATTTACATACAATGAGGGTTGGTGATAGAGCAAAACTTTCAATAACATTTATTCACAAAGGCAGAGCCATGCCTATCAGATTAATAGGTGTCATCATCAAGCAAAAGAGCATTAAAATAGTAAATAATAGTCCCAGGCACCCTCAAGGTAAGAGTTCCGAACCAAAGTTCGATAACCTGGGGATAGCAGTCACCTGCTTCTTCGTGTGCCAGGGAGTGTCGGCCGTAATTCCAAGGGCTCGAGGTGAGTATAAGACAGAGTCAAGATCCCTTAGTGGGGTTTCCACATCGGGTCCTTCTGGTGTGTTCTGTGAAGGATGCTGTGCGGAAACCAGACCCTCTGTAGAATGCATGCAAGCTGCAGGGCCGGAACAGGAGAAGGCTGGGCTGGAGGAGGGCCGAGGCAGGAGAAAACCCGCTGGCACCAAGTCAAATGTGTCCCGCGGTGCGGCTCCTCCACGTGTGGAGGATGTGCTGCACAGGGCTGTCGGGTTGCTCAGAAGCAGATCTCCTGGCCTTCATTGTGAGGCACCTCTGGGTGGACTTGGATTTCTCAGCTCTCAGTCAGCCGCCAAGTGTGTTAACCCAGGGATAGAATGGCTGTCTTCAACTTCTTACTGAGGGGAGGTTAGAGAAAGGGCAGCCTGAGTCCTCAGCCGTGGGCAGAATCGCCAGAGAAGCAGATTTCCTCTTGATTAAAAGGAAGAGCTTTGGAACATAATGTTTTCTAAAGC